GTGGATATGATCATATAACCACCCTTCTACTAGGGCTTGTTTGGTATAATGATAAGTTCATGGATTTATGGAATTTTGTATCATTGCTCGACAATTTATTATGAGAGTACAAAGTTGGTCTCGATCTTTAATTATTGTTGCACAATCAAACCCTAATGATGAAGACAAGTTAATTTTTTGTTAAATTAACACAATCCCCGTACATTTTGCCCATGTTTGATTTGGATAAAAATTAGGTTTTTAGTAAATTTTGATTTAGTGAAACACGTAATTGAAAATTGATAAAAATTTTGAATTCCATAAAATATGTTGTTGAAAATAAGTTTGAAAAAAAAAAATGAATTTCAAAAAATGAGAGAGACTTAGACCCCGTTTGATTTGTATTTCAATTTCAATTACATTTTTATTTTTGTGTGTTTGAGTGTCTGTTTTAACATTACTAAAAATATGTTTGATCTATTATTTTGAAAAATTATTTTTCAAAACAGAAAATTAGAAAACACGTTTGGTTTGAAAAATTGAAGAAATGTTTTATCACATTTTATTTCATTAAATTTGATTATTATGTAAAAATAGAATAATCATATGTTAACATTTATCAAGTAATTTATATATTTTAAAATTGATGTATCTTAATATTTTTTTCTCGCTACAAAAATAAAATAAAAATTTTAAAAGTGAAGCAAAGCACTTTCTCACCATGGCCAAGTTTTGATGAGTCAAGGAAGGTCAGATGATTTCCGTTGTTGGGGAGTGATTGTAACGTCATAATAAAAGGTAGAAGACAACTTGCTTTTAAAAAAAAAATTAAGAAATGATTGATGATTCAATTTTTCGATTCTATCATGGACAAAATTAAAAAAAAATGATGTGGTTTTTTTTTTTGGCATAAGCTTGTTGGAAACATAAATCAACAGATAAACAGAGACGTCCCAATCACTTCTCGAGCACCCTCATCATCTGTTCGTCTCGAAATTCATTTATAATAATGTCATGTTTGATAGGGTTTAATTTTCATGGAAGTTGTTGATAAAGGCGCTTTGCGCACTTATTTAGGCAACAAAACATGGACTGTTGTCGATAGATATGTTGAAATATGGCTTAATTCGATATAATTTAAGTTTGTAGGACTATATTGATGGATGGAATGAAAAGTGTGATCACATGGAATATAACCATGTGATCACATGATTCATTTCTGGTACCGAATTTTCTGTTTCCTTATTGGAATTGATCTCTTATGGAAAGGTATCTTGACACCCTATTTAAGTCTAAACTCGTCTAAAAGTTAG